CAGCAGAGCTCAAAGACACTTGCTGTCAAGCCTGATGAGCTGAGCTTAATCCCTAAAACCTACATGGTAGAAGTAGAGAACTGACTCCCAAAGTTGTCCTTGGCTCTCCAAACTCATGCCATCATGTAATTTAAAAAGATAGCATATTTGGGAGGGGGAGGGAGCATTTTGAGATAGGGTCTCACTTTGTAGCCAAGGCTGGCCTTCAACTCATATTCCTCCACATCAGCTTCCCATGTGCTTGGATTACAGATGTGCATTAGCAACAAATATTTTTAACACTTCTCCCATTGAAAGGCATGGTTTATGTCTAGGAGGAGCTACATTTGTGGGGCCAAGTACAAAAGAGAAATGTAACGCTTTTGTTCGAAAATTATGAAAAATTTCAAGCAACACCAGAGTGCTGATGCAAAAGTGCAGCCCTTTGAATGTGGGGCTCTGAAAGGCAGCATGTCTTCATGGAATTACAAGAAGCTGCCTGCTTACGAGTCCTTGTCTTGAGTCTGAGTGAGGCCTGCCCCTGCTTTCACTGTGGTGGAAGTGACACTGTGACACTTCTAAGCCCAGTCCTTGGGAGAATGATAACTTAGTGTTTTGGAACTCTCTGGAAGCCTGTAAACCCAGTTCTGCCGCACTGGAGAACGCTCGGCTTAAAAACTCCACAGAGCATTTTAACAGGTAGTCAAGGTTGAAAACAAGTGGTTTTGTGTCTGCCATCTGTCTCCATATTGCCAACGTGCACAGTCCCCTTTGGTAGGCATCTCTAGTCTTCGTGCACTTGTATTCCTGTCTGAGTCTTCTTTCCGTTCATCAGCTCATGATAGGGAATGCCTGTGTAATTTTGATGTTAACAAGAGCATTGCACTTGAACTTTAGAGACAGATATGGCACCCTGAATGTTCACAGAAAATACAGCAACTTGGAAATGCTACATTGAGACTTTGATTCAAATTGAATTTCACAGGAGGGGATTCTAGTCCTTATTAAAATCACAGACTTCTCTCATGTTGTTTAGTCGTGATCATTTTTACCAAGTGAAACCCTTACTACAAAGTCTGGAAGTATGACTCTAATGTTGGGAATTAACAATAAAGGGCAGTTGATATAGTTGATCTGGGTAAAGGATTTGCTCTTGCATCTATGATTTCACACTGATACCAGTAGGTGTCAGCATAACTTAGGAAACATTCATTTGGCTGGTAGTTTGGTATTAAAACATCATCTTTCTGATGTGAAGGTGACCGTAAAGAATTCAGCCTACTTGTTATATTCATTAGTGATTACATTGCCTTACTTAGTTGCCACCACAAATAACAGGAGTCTGAAGATTAGTTATGAAACAGATAAGAGCAGAGTTTCATAATCTTCCTCTATAAAGGACCAGATATTAAATATTTAAGTCTTTGAGGGCCTTGTGGTCTCTCCCACAATTACGTTTTGCCATTATAACACAAAAATAGCCCTCCTACTCCATTCACAAAAGAACAGCATGATTACATTCCAATAAAA